ATATTTCATAGAAGAAAAGTTTCCATATCTGTTAACAATCGTATTATTAACGTTTGGAGTAATAGCCATAAAAGCACAGAAATCCCTCGCAGTAGCCAAACTCCTCCAGAAACCGGCTACAATGGCATTTTTTCTTTCATCGCAATAGTATCCGACGTCCGTTCTATACCGCCTACGTTCTTGACCTAATATTACGAAAAAGACGGCTATGCCCATAATAATACCCAGTAAAACTATAACAATAGGGATAATTATAGTTGATAAAGTTTGTGGAGAAGGTTTTAGTCGACTTAAACATCCTTTGTTAACATCGGAGGTGCCTGAGTTGGTTCGATAATTAACATTTCTAGTACTTTTAGATAAGCCTGTATTTGAAGTTTCAGTATTATCGCGTATTTCAACTTCGGAATTATTTGCTGTATTGTAAAAATTTACAACAAAACGATCCTCAAGTCGTAATTCCTTTCCTTCAACATCATGAATTTCTTTAAAGTCAGAAATTGGGTGTGTTTTTTCTGGAATCTCAGTAGCTGCAAAAGTAGTAAGTGTTGCAGAGTTCTTTTCTTCAGCGCTTTCCGAGTCTGTAGATCGAATAGAAAGTGAATGCCTGTTTGTTTGATCACTCATTGGATTTAAAACGGGAAAGATTCCGGTAACGTAAGGTAGAATACTTCAATGAGAACTGTTACTATTAGCGATATCTTTCACGAAAAACCAACGTTGAAGTGGCATATATAAAATAATTCGGATATATTAATAAAAGCATAGAAAGTTGTGACAATGAGAGACAGGCGAGGAGTGAGAACAAACGGGTGAATAGGTAGCATAAAAATTTGAGTTTATTATGACAAATAAGGTTAGTTCCATGGGTTTTTTTGAGACTAAGTAGTGCAACAAAATATCCAAATATTGTTTAAATATGAAGAGGGAAGTCTGTAAAAATTTTGCGTTTTGTAGGACAGGTTAGACAGATCCAACTTTCTATATTTTCTATCCAATCGCAAATAAGGTTAGATGTTCATGCAAACTCATCCATAAAAGTTCTAAAATTCATTTATCATCTACCGATCAACATGGCTGACGATTTAAGTAATCGTAAGTTTATTATGCAGTTTTCTCTCAGTTTGTGCAAAAAAAAAATAATAAAATAAAAAAATGGAATCTCAGCTTGCTTACGATGTGTACAAACCCATAGATCCGAATAGTGTCTTTTTAAACCTCGAGGATTTATTTAATCAATTAAACACTTCAAATGGTAAGAATTTTTTTTTTACCTCCGATTGTGCTAAATTGACAGCGTCAAGATTATTTGATTTGTTCCCTTATTGTATACTATCAGACCCCGATAATGAACTGATCCAATGTCTTCCTTCACTGATCGCTGGTCTCGAAAGTTGCAAGAAAATAATATCAAACCAGAGCTCGACTTCAGAAAGTAAAATAGATGCTTGGTCTAAAGTATCGAAAACAGTGGAAATGATTGCGAATTTTGCAAAAAATGGTAATATATTAATTGTCAATTCTTAAAATTATCCATTTTACCGTATCTTATATTTATAATTTTATACTATTAAAATAGAAATTTCACGCGATCCACTTGAAGCTTCTGATGTTGTAGAATTAATAGTTCAATTTATGCAACTTAATGACACTCAATCATATCATCCGGTCGATTATCAATGCCTTCGAGCACTCGCAAATTTTTGTATTTACAGTGGTAATTAAAAAATAAAAGCAAAGATTTCATTAGTATTTATTATAAATAAAACTAACATATTGCTAAATTTTCTCCGAAGATGTAAATCGTCAGAAAATTCTTGATTCAGGTGGTATAAATACTGTGCTTATATGTTTGCAAAAGAAGAAAGATCTAGAAACTATTCGTGGTGCTTGCGCTGTACTATTAAATGCTGGGCTTCATTATGGTATTTTCTTGTAAGATTTGATGTTCACAAATATTTCATTAAAATAATATTAAATGCATTCGCTTTTTTAATCAGATCGGATTAATTCTGAGATTATAAAATTGGATGGGATTATCGTGCTTTCCAACCTTCTTGAGCCGGAAAATGTTTTGAAAAAATATGTTGAAAGTATTGATATAGCACGAATGACAGTTTACTTTGCCACGAGAGTATTGTTAAATTTAATAGGAACCGGTTAGAATTTATTTATTATTTATTGGGTATTTACATTATTATTTACACACATTCGTTAAATCCATAGACGAGGGCAAATCGAAATGTACAACTTCGGAAGTAATTACTGCGTTAACGCATCTACTTTCCTACAGTTCTTCAGATAATGCAACGAGTGAAGATGTAGATATTATTGAAAATATTGTAGAAATTTTGGAAAGCGTTGCTATAGACAGTGGTGAGCACATAGATCTTAATGTCGTAAAACCGTAAAATAACGACTATTAGTCGTTATTTCGAAAATTAAATCTTTTAAAAATAGCTTATTTAATTTCAAAATAATGCGTACCTTATACAATAATATGTAGTAACGTGCAGCTGTGCGTTATTTCGCGGTTTTACGGTAAACTATTTTGTATATATTCAAATTCGACTGTATATATTTAACCTATTTATTTATAATTTATTTATACAAGATGAAGTGCAACAAATTTTAGTTAAAGATAAATTATTTGGTAGTTTATTGGACTTCTTAGAATACTCAAAACCTCCAGAAGGTTGTAGTCAACGAATTGATAAGAGTTATGGTGAATCTAAAGCTGCCGTATTGAAAGTGATTGTCTCGACTACAATGAGTGGTAATTTTCTTTGCATTAGATTAGTTGATTAGTCGTTAATAATATGAAGTTTTGTGTATTTATATATATATATCTATATATATATATATATATTTTTTTTTTTTAAGATAAAAATATGGATCTTTTGTTTGATGATACTATCATCTTGCATCGCTTACTTAATTGGCTAGCTTTGGGACCAAAACGTGATGACCTTCAAATGTGTGCAGCATTATCTTTGGGTAATCTCGCTAGATGTGGTAATATTTCAATTTCCTATAAAATCTAATTTCAAGTTCTGACTTCTATATTCACCAGAATGTTCTCTTTTTCAAAATTTAATATCCAGACACACACTGCATAAAATTGGTACATGATATTCATATTGTAGAACCCCTTGCTAATGTCTTGAAAACTTCAAGTAATGTCAAAGTACAACATGCTGTTATTAGCGCGTTGAAAAACTTATCGATTGCAGGTATATCATAAATAATATTTATAAATTATACACGTATATATATACATTTTCTTTTAGACTTCTAATATACCTTGAATAGCTGAAAACAAGGACATTATTGGATCTTGTGGAGTCATCGGAGCTACATCGCCATTGCTCGAAAAGGATACTGTCCAACCTGTCCAATTTGTTGTAGTTGGAATTTTTAAACATTTATCATCTCAGAATGGTTTGTTTTACATTCTCTGCATATAATTTGTTATATATATTGATGTTATATTAATAAACTTTTACTTTCTATTAGTTAAAAATTCCGTGAAAATTATTCTTGGGGAAAATAAGGATGATGTAGAAAAACCACTTACACGTCTACTTAATTTAATTAAGCATACTGATGATTTACCCATTCTCAGCGAGGGAACGCGTGTACTTGTTAATCTTGTTAAAAACATGTGGGTTGAAAATCCTCATACTATATTAGGTAAAATTCTGTTCTTATATTTCTGTCGTTTGCTTTAAAACTATAATCATAATAAAATTTTTTAACATTGGGAATTTTGATATTTATAGAAGGAAGATCAGTGTCTTCATTGCGTTCACAATTGAATAAAAAAGAGGTTGTCCAACCTCTTACTAACATGGTTATAGAGTCTAAATACCCAATTCTTCAAAATGAGGGTATAATTGCTCTAACATTGCTAATTATGGATGATTCTGCTGGGGATGGAGGTAACATTTTAAGCAAATTTGCTTATTCAGTTCATAAATTTCGTAATTATGTATCTAACTTTATTAATCATCTCGTTAACCAGATTCTAATCCTGCCTTAAATATATTAACGTCGACAAATAATGAAGAATTAGATGATAATACTACATCACAATCGACAAATCATTCAGTGGTTAATAATGAAAAGATTCCTTCGAACTCATCATCAGTAGAAATACAACAAGAACAATCCTCAATATCGCCCTTACTTAAATCGTTGCTTGATATGATATTGATCGAGCGGGATAAATACGCTGATGAAATTGAATGCAATGTATGCTTGTTACTCGAGAAATCAGTGAAGGCTTCACATGGAACTCGTGAGTATTTTATATTTCCATGGTGTCACATTTTTTTACTCTTAACATTTCTTCTAAAAAATATTGTTTAAATCAGGAAAACAATATCTTAAAGAAAGAATTCTACCATCTTTAACTCCATTATTAGAGCAAAATCAGTTACCAGATAAATTAAAATCCGCAATAGAAAGGATTATAAAATGTTTTAATTAATTTATTTTTTACAATAAATTTACTATAATTTATATAATGACGTCATTCAAAAGATGAAATTCGTATTTAAACAAGTTATAATTGGGTTTTCAAGAAATGGAAATTTTCAATAATGTTATAAATAGATCTATTACATATTATACAGTATATATATATATATATATATTAATATACAAATAGTTACATTTTCTTATTTAGGCAATCATTTATTTCTCTTATTTAGGAAATCATTTATTTCTCTTATTTAGGCAATTATTTATTAAATTAACTTAGCCACACTTGTGTGCGCATTTGTTATATTAAAAAATGCAGGAAAAAATTTCTGCATTTATATTAACATGTCTAATTAATAATTTTAATTCCGGAAATTTTTTAACCAATAATAATGTCGAAGGACATTCGTATGATTGGCCAATGTAAATCAATTGTCCGTGTGACTTTATTTATACGGTTTAAAGTATTTATTAATAAAAATTTCTATATTTTCTAGCCTCGAAAGAGCGCCCATATTCACAGTAAGGTCCGGAATGGGCTTTTTGGGGCTCTAGAAATAGATTGGTCACATGAAATTATAACTAGCATTTTGATTAGCTTCAAAAATATATATATAAATAAACCAAAAAAAGTCCGCAAATCTGCAAATTTAGTATCAATTATGTATAAAGAAAAAACTATAGTATTTAAAACAGTAACTGAATCATTATATAAAATAAATACAATTTGTTACTAGAGTTTAGAGGTGCAGGCGAATTGCCGTAACTATTTCTGTAACTCATAATTATTTTATAGTTACAGAGATAGTTATGATACGTTACGGCAAAGTTATGGGACGACACCTCTACAAGAGTTGCAACAAACAAAAAAAATACAAACTCTAGAATTGAGCGGTTTTAGTAACATAATGTGTTGATGAATTTTTCTGCAATATTGGGATCTTTAAAAGGGTTAAAATCCATGAAATGGGTGGCGATTTATTTAAAAAAAAACATCAGTTTCGCACTTCTTTATATCAACAAAGAAATATTTTCTTATTTTTTTTTTGTTCTAAATAACTTACATAGAGATTGGAACCGCCTCTAACAAAAGTTGTAGAGAAGGTTATGACGACTCGAATGGTAGTAAAAACGTTAAAATCGGCCCAGTTGATCGCGAGATATGAGCCAAGAAAGTTTCGCGATTCTTTAAAGTTGTTTAAGAATCGTGAAACTTTATTGGCTTATATCTCTTGATCCATGGGCTGATTTTAAAGTTTTCACCACCATTCGAATCGTCGTAATCTCTTCTATAACTTTTATTAAAAGTCTAAGTAAGATTAACTTAATGAAAAATCACTTCTGATCATAAAATCTTAGCTTTATTATTTAAAATTTTTAAAAATAAAACTGAAGATTTTATTATCTGAAGTGATTTTTCTATTAATTGATCTTACTTAGACTTTTAATAAAAGTTATAGAAGAGGTTATGCCGATTCGAATGGTAGTGAAAACATTAAAATCGGCCTAATGGATCAAGAGATATAAACCAATCAAGTTTCGCGATTCTTTAAAATTTCTTAAAGAATCGCGAAATTTCTTGGCTCATTTCTCGCGACCACTGGACTGATTTTAACGTTTTTACTACCATTCGAATCATTGTAATCTCCTCTACAAATTTTTGTTAGAAGCCTAGATAATATTATATTAGAAAAAAAATTAATTACATTTAAAAAAAATTTGACATTATTGTTTAATTTTTTTATTAACTTGCAATTTCATTGGTCGATTCGATGTGGAAAATCTATGGATAGTTCTTAGCAGTCAAGGATAGGGTTGTTAATGGAGTACTTCAGACTAGACCCCTGCATGGGCCTAAAAATTTGTACTTTTGCTGGCCCACATGGACTGCATAATAAAACTTACTATGTTTTTTAAAAGTTTAATCTGCAATTTACTATGTTTTTACACATCAGGCTCACAATTTTGAGAAGGTTTTAAAATTTTCAAAATTTAGCTTAGCCTATACAGGCCTTTACTCTTGACTATAATAAAACATATAACCACTTCTGAAGTGTTTCAGAGTAAGTTATATTTTTTATTATTAACTGAAGCATTCTATTAACAACTCTAATTAAAAAACATATTTATTTTATTATTATTATTATTATTATTTTTACTTTGACAGCCTTGCCAATGATCTTTTATTAAGATTATATTGTTTGGTAAGACAACTTGTTTAGCTTAATATTTAGGCCTGACATTCTACAGTTACTTCTATAATAAGTCATGTATAATCAAAGTTAATATTTGTAAAGTAATTTTTTATCATTTAAACACTTTTAAATAATTATTATATTGAGCTATTCACAAATCCAGAATAACTTGTCTGGCTACTGCCTTATAATATAACATCACCAATTTGATAACATTTTTTTATAGATAAGTGAAAAAATTATATATAAAACAAAAACAGAGATATAGGCAAAAATTATAAAATATATAATTATAAAAAAAAGAAAGAAGTAAAGTACTAATCAAAAAAAGAAAAAAGAGCTAAATAGTTACAGTTATTAGTTTGTACAGTCATCCTCCCATAAAATCACACAGTTGGGCACATAGTGAATTTTTTCAAAATGTGCTAATATAGGAGTTGTGCTTATATGGAGGTCTTTTTCTTATAAATTAAATAATAGTTTGGCCTAAACATAAATATGATTACATATGGTGTGATTATATGAGAGGTGACTATATGGAGAGACGACTGTATTAGGTTTTTAAAAATTATATACAACTAAATATAAAAATTTTTATAGTTAATTGGTGATTCACCAGTCAACCAGAGAAGATCTGCAAATTTTTATAAGTAAATTTTACTATTGAGCCAAATGTGGAGTGCTCCAATCTAAAGCTTTTTTTTTTTACTAAGTAAATCACTCTTGGGCTTCTAATGAAAGTTGTAGAGCTCATCAAGATGCATCTAATGGTGGTAAGAATATTAAAATTGGCCTAGTAGTTCTTTAGAAATCTTTAAAAAATATTTTGCTGATATATAAAATTTCTTTAAAAAAAATCAATTTTTTTTAAAGAAATTTTATATATCGACAAAACATTTTTTAAAGATTTCTTAAGAACCACCAGGCTAATTTTAATGTTCTTACTACTATTAGATGCATTTTGATAAGCTCTACAATTTTCATTAGAAGCCCAAGAGTGATTTATTTAATAAGAAAAAAGTTTTAGATTGATACACTTCACATTTGGCTTAATAGTAAAATTTACTTATAAAAATTTGCAAATCTTTTCTGGTTGATTGGTGAATCACCAATTAATTATATTAATTAATCAATTATTATAAAATGCATCTATAGTGGTTTTGCACCTATTATATGTTTTTTAAAATTTTCTAAGTTTTTTTTTTTTTTTTAAGGTGAGGTTTTGTCTTTATCTTTATTGAATAATTTGTATTGAGAATCTACTAAGGGATTCTTTGGTCAATAAGACTAATAATTACAAATATTTTTACAAGAATGAGACTCAGACTATAGATATTAAAATCTAATTTATCTGCAACCTAAACCTACTAGAGTGATTAAAAACTCATCTAGATTCTATAATTTATAATATAGTTAGTGGGTGTGCTATATATTATCCAAGAAGGTAGCCATGTATATACTTTTTTAATTGCTTTTCCAAGGGGTAGACAGTCATTGTCTATGTGTTGTTGGTCAGATAAACCACAGCTACAGCTGTAGGTGTATGATATTCTTAATTGTAGACTATTACTAGATGTAGATGTTGTATTTCAACTAGTCCGATTTCTATTTATATAGATAGGTATATTGTGCTTTTGCTTCCAGCTTGATAACTTTACACAGTATGGTTTCCAAATTAAGTTGTATATATTTTGAGATAGTTGTAGGAGTAGTTGAATTATAGTATTTGTTGCTGTTTTATTAGAGTCTGTATACTCTCTAATAGTTTGTATCAGTATAATAGGTATGAACCCTTGTAGAGTTGTGAATATATTTGCATTGGTTCTGGTGTAGTGGTTAAGTGATAAACTTGGATAGTAGATAAGTTTATTCTGTAGCTCTTGACATTGTGTATATGATATATCAAGTCTGAAGGTTTGCAAAAATTGTTGTATTGTGTTAGTAATGATTGTATTTAGATTGGGTGCACTTGGGCATGTAAGCCAATGCATTTGATCTTCATAAGAGTTACATGAAATGCAGTTAATGTCTGGAAAGTGTTGAGAATACAGAGTATGTAGGTTTGATAGTGTGGATAGTATATTAAACATAAGTTTGATTTTGAAGGTTTTTTCTTGGCAGAGTTTGAAGTTAGTATAGGAGGATGATTTTTTGTGATTATTGTTTAAATAAAGCCAGGTGGCATTCCAATCAATTTGTGTTGCAAGAAGTATAATGTTTTCCATTCGGTGTTGTGAAGACCATAATGCTATTATATGATTATTACAAATGTTTTTGATAGATCTATGAGTTGGTTACTCGAATGCATAAATTATATATTGTAAGTAGTAAGATGGATTGTAAATATTGTTGTGTAAGAATACAAGATCGGTTATATGATTCTGGTTTTTAGCTAGACTATCTGCTAAATCATTAAATGTGTTATTGCTGTGTGCTGTAATTTTTTGAAGTTTAATTTTTAGCTTGTAGGATTTAATAAGATTTAGTAGTATATGCCAAATTGGCCAGTAGTTATATGAATATTGTTTATTTGGTCCAGGTGGTTGTTGAGTAAGTTTGTTGTACTTAGATATTATAGATTGTGAGTCAGTGTAGATGGTAA